TCTGGTCCGGCGGCATGTCCTTCCACGGCGGCTTTGCCGGCACTGTCATCGCCATGATCCTGTTCGCCTGGCGCAGGGGATTGCCCATCTGGACGCTGTTCGACCTTGCCGGCTGTGCGGCTCCGATCGGTCTTTTTTTCGGCCGCATGGCCAACTTCATAAATGCCGAACTTTGGGGACGGCCCACAGATGTGCCCTGGGCCATGGTTTTTCCCGGAGCGGGACCGGAACCGCGGCATCCGAGCCAGCTCTACGAGGCCGCGCTCGAAGGCGTGGTTCTGTTCTTTGTCCTTCGGCTCCTGAGCCATCGGTTTGAGTTGCTGAAAAAACCTGGTTTCCTCGCCGGTGCATTCGCCTTCGGCTATGGCATAGGCCGCTCGATCGCGGAATTCTACCGGGTGCCAGACGCGCATATCGGGTACCTGTCAGGCTTCCTGACCATGGGGATTCTGCTGTCGCTGCCGATGATACTCGCCGGACTTGCCCTCATGATCTGGGCTGCACGCCGACCATCAGGGACCGCAGCGGCTTGACCGGCCTGAAGGAAAAGATCCGGGCCGCCATTGCCAATGAAGGCCCCATGCCGGTGGCGCAGTTCATGGCCATCTGTCTCGGAGACCCGGAACTGGGCTATTACACAACGCGGGAACCCTTTGGCAACCAGGGCGACTTCGTCACCGCTCCGGAAATCAGCCAGATGTTCGGTGAACTTGTCGGTGCCACCTGTGTTTCGGCCTTCGACCGTCTCGGGCATCCGGAGGCCTTCCATCTGGTGGAACTGGGTCCGGGGCGCGGAACCCTGATGGCCGATTTGTTGCGGGCAGCGTCACTGCGCCCGGGCTTTGTCGCGGCGGCCCGGCTGCATCTGGTGGAGACGAGCCCGCGTCTCAGGCAGATCCAGGAAAGAACGCTGGCCGGGGCACCTCTGACACCAGCCTTCCATGACACGTTCGAAACCATCCCGGACGGACCTGTTCTTGTCGTTGCGAATGAGTTTTTCGACGCTCTGCCCATACACCAGTTTGTCAAAACTCCCGGCGGCTGGCACGAACGCGTCGTGGGGCTGGATGCGGACGGCGCGCTCGCATTCGGCGCCGGCGCGGCGCGTATCCCGGACGGTGACATACCTGACGAATTCATGAACGCTTCGACAGGATCGGTGTTCGAGACACAACCAGCCGCCAATGCGATCGCCGAGAGACTGGGACAAAGGCTCGCGCGCGATGGCGGTGCTGCGATCATTTTCGACTACGGCTATCTGAAATCGGCGACCGGCGACACATTGCAGGCGCTCTACCGGCACGCCTATGACGATATTCTGGCACATCCCGGAGAGGCCGACCTGACGGCCCACGTGAACTTTGAAGCCCTGGCGGGCGCGGCAGTTCACGGCGGCACGGCTTCGCACGCTGTGCTGACCCAGGGCGACTTCCTGCTGCAATCGGGTCTTCTGGAGCGGGCAGGATCACTTGGTGCGGGAAAGACGCACAAGGACCAGGAAGCCATTCGCGACGCGGTTGAGCGCCTCGCGGCCCCCGGTCAGATGGGGGATCTGTTCAAGGTTCTGGCGCTTGCAAGCACACCCGCACCCTTTCCACCATTTGACAGCGCCTCATGAAGCAACCAAGGATCACAGGTCGGGAACGAATCGGAGCAAACCGGAGGTCAGGGTCCGGACGCTGCGATCGCGCGCGTCAGTTTTAGGGCAGTTCATGAAGATCGAAGCAGAAGCACTGAACCTTGACGGAATCCGCCACGGCTTTTTCACGCGGGAAGGCGGTGTTTCGAAAGGCATTTACGAGAGCCTCAATGTCGGCCTCGGCTCCGAAGACCTGCGCGACACGGTGCTAGAGAACCGCGGCCGCGTCGCCGATGCGCTTCGCGTATCCACTGACCGGCTGTTGTCGCCCTATCAGATACACTCGCCGGATGTCCTGACCGTGGAAGGGCCCTGGGAAGACGGCCAACACAAAAAGGCTGACGCGCTGGTCACCGACAGACCGGGACTGGCGATCGGCATACTGACCGCCGATTGCGGTCCGATCCTCTTTGCCGATCCGGCTGCCGGCGTCGTTGGTGCGGCGCATTCGGGCTGGAAGGGCGCGCTCACCGGTGTCCTTGAAAACACGGTCTCGGCGATGGAGGCGCGCGGCGCAGCACGAGAAAACACCGTTGCCGTTCTCGGACCGACAATTTCCCGGCAATCCTATGAGGTGGGACCGGAGTTCCATGACCGCTTTGTCAACGATGCGGCAGGCAACGATGTCTATTTCAAGCCGTCCGAACGCGATGGCCACTTCATGTTTGATCTCCCGGCATTCATCACCGACCGTCTGCGGGAAACCGGATTGGGCAAGGTCGCCGACCTGAACCTGTGCACCTATTGCGACGAAGACCGCTTCTTTTCCTACAGGCGGACAACCCACCGTGGCGAGCCGGATTATGGCCGCCAGATCAGCGCGATATCCCTTGAGGCTTGACGCCAGGTCGAGCGAATGTGAGGACAATCATGGCACTTCATTTTTCAGACGCCGAATTTGAACGCCGCTTTACCGAATTGAAGGCCGTCATGGAGACCGAAAAGCTCGACGCCATGCTGCTTTTCGCGCAGGAAAGCATGTACTGGCTGACGGGATACGACACGTTCGGCTTCTGCTTCTTTCAGTGCCTGGTCGTGACAAAGGACGGCGAAAAGGTTCTGCTCACACGGTCTGCCGATCAGCGTCAGGCGCGCCATACCTCCAACATATCCGACATCCGGATCTGGATCGACCGGGGCTCGGCGAGCCCCGTGATGCAGCTGAAGGAAATGCTGTTCGACATGGATCTGCTCGGCAGCCGGATCGGGATCGAATACGATACGCATGGCATGACCGGCAAGATCGCACTTCAGATCAACGCCGAGCTGACCAGTTTTGCCGATCTGCGCGACGCATCCACGCTGATACCGGAGCTTCGCTCGGTCAAGAGCCCTGAGGAAATCGCCTATGTCCGCAAGGCAGCGGAACTGACGGACAAGGCCTTTCATGCCGCCATGGACGAAATCGGCCCGGGCGCAGATGAAGGCCGGATCCTCTCCGCCATGCAGGGTGCGATTTTCGAGGGTGGCGGAGATTACCCCGGCAACGAGTTCATCATCGGCTCCG